GGAATGAAGCTACTTAGATACTATAATGCATAGGTAAGCAGTAGCTTAAAATTTCAGTACTAGTTGTTTTTTAGCAGGGTAAATTACCCTTGGCACAGAGTTCAACACTATCTTGACTTGAGTATTTCTGGTATCAAACCAGACAGCTTAAAAATAGTTTCTCGTCTTACACTCTTTCCTGCATATATTTATTAGATAGTAGAGTTATGAACTCAGAAGGCCTTTCTACTGAGTGGATCAAGATGTAGTTACAATGATTTCTATATACTTCAGAGCAAAAAAAGACAATCCAAAGCCTTAATTCAGCCTTCATGTTCATAACATGCATGAGAGGTAATAAAAGCTGGCTCTGAATTGCAAAATCTTACTCAGACTTGAGCAGCACTATAAGAACAGCTGAGCTACTTCTTATTTCTTCCTCATTTTGCCTGCTGACCTCTCATTTTTCATCTCCTTGTTACTGTTGCTCTTCTGCTTTCTTAGAAAGGCTGAAGTAGAGTAGCTATTAAGCCTTTCAGCGTTTTCAGCTTTGTTATCTGCTCTCCATACCCATTATCAAACTGCCACATTTTTCCTTTGACAGATTTTTGCTTCTTACATGCTTTTTATACACAGATACAGGTGGCACAGGCGCTGAGGGAACAACAGGGGAGAGTTTACAAGGAGAGAGAAATACAAAATAAGAAAAGGAACAGTGGTAGAGGTGAAATGATGCAGGACTGCTGAAGCAGTCATTGCTCTCAGCTTAGGGCACTGGCTTCCAATCTCTTCATTTATACTTTTCTCCCTTAAATTAATGCCCTGCTGTTTTCATCTCCCTTTCCCTCCTGCCACCATCTTTTTTGGTCACCTTGCAGTTTGTGTACTACAAAAAACAAGAACAGCCTTGATTCACATAAGCTGCTTCTCTTAACAAAATCAGTGGGCCTTTGCAGGTCAGCTTTCTCTTTCTTGTCCCTGCTAGACCTGTCAGAGAGGACAGTCATATTCCACTGCTGCACATCTCAGCACATGTTGGCATCTTTGTTTACAGCTGTGCTACTTTAGATTATTACTCTTGGATTTGTGGATTAACTTTTTTTTTTTTTTTTCCTATTGCTTGACAGTTCCAGTAAGCTTAACAGTTCCTGGTATTAGTGAGTAAAGTGATGGACAAAAAGATATGTTTTGTCTCAAAGATCCTGAAATGCAGGGACCGTGAAAAGAGAGACAGACTTTTTCGCACACGTATTTATTTGACTATCTGCCTTAGCCTATTAATTGTAGGGCATTTAGTAATGTGTAGAAGATACTGCTTCCTAGACAAACACTCCTCAGAACATTCTAACTTAATATAAGAATGAATCAAACCAACCAAGTAAATGCATGCAATTGTAAAGAAAAAGTAAATAATTGCTGCACACTACCAAGAAGAAAGGGCAACAGTTTCTCCAGACAGGTACTGAGGCATGGAAGGTGGTACAGGAAAGACAGGAATCTTGATCAAGTTAATCCTGAACTTTCTAGAGCAGCTGTTATTCAGGACTTCCCTACAAGAGCAAACTACCATAAACTAGCATGTCTGCTACTCTGCTGAAAGCATGTATATACAAACAGCTGTATGGAATAAGTACAGCACGCTCATCCTAATTTAAATCCTATTAATTTACTCTTGTAGCTGTGTCATTAAGCAGATCACTAACCTGAGCATCTGTCACTGTGATTCCCCCAGGTGACAGAATAGCCAGATAGGCTGGTATTCTCTATTAGATTTAGTTTTCTTCTGGATCAAGGATGAGTTTAATAAACCACAAAGATTTTGCATGCTGTCCAAAACACACAGAACAAAGCTCCAACACTTCTATTTCAATCTTTGAAGCCAGCAAAACAGAAAGGATTTTACAAATTGTTAAATACTGTGAAGCACTTACCGTCCTGAAGAAACTTGTTTAAGTGAACCAGCACTTTCAAACAACTGGGCTCTTGCAGCCACTCTGAAAATAAAGCACCACCTTGCTTTATACTTTGCCCATCAATAAAACAGACTAACTTCACTGTTAATCATCTAAAGACATGGACACATTTTTTAAAATTGTTTTAATTATTCACTTAGAGAAACAGCAGAAATTCAAAAGCTGAATTTAAGTCCCTGTTCAGCAGAATTCTTAAGGGCATAACCTAATTGGGGCCTGACTTCCACATGCTCTAGTGCCTTGCTGAGTCAGCAAGGGAAGTCTCAACACCCTATATTTAAAATTCTATTCACGGATGGCCGATAGATATATTGGAAATGCTTTTACTGCCAGTCTGTCACTATCATGCTGGAACTCTGAGCTGTGCAGGGTTCTCTGTTTAAGACACAACAGTCTGTGAAATGACTACCATGATCCCTTCCAGTTTAAAAAGTGAAGAGGCTGAATCGAGTCCTGCAGTATTTAGAGAACTTGGTGCTCTGCAGACCTAGAAATCACTTGTTCATGGGGACAGAGAAATTCTGGGTCAAAGTCATGACTACAGCAAAGATCTTCTGACTCTTAAGTTTGTCAATTGAGAAACATTGCTAGCCTGAATCTCAACAAGCTAAATTATAACCTCTATTGCTTAGAACTATCCTCCTTTCAAAACGCGCCCCCTCCCGCCCCAAACCCAACTGTTAGAAAAAAACAAAGATATCAACTATTTAACATGCAGCAAACGAAGACATTTCAGAGCAGAAGTTTGGGGTTTGGGGGTTGTTTTTTTTTTTTTTTTACTTTCTCCAATTTTGGTCTTACACAAATGAGATCTGATGATCTTGACATAACAGCATGGACAGTAAGTAGCATTTATGCTCTTTGAAACATTAAATTCCAGAAGAATCAGAGATAATAATACTAATCACTTTCCAAAGATACATTTCTTTATTATAGACCTTATCTGTAGTTTAATGAAGTCAATGGGAGTCTTTCAACTGACTTCAACAGACTGTGCCATGTCTCCTTTGTTTACATCTTAATGAAGCTAGATAAATAATTCACAAATACAGAAATATGCAAATCAAGTATTCATGAATGGTTTTTCAATTACTTATGTAGCTCTACAGGATCACTTTATAGTAGACAACACTGTAACAACACAAGTCTCCAAAGGGCCTTGATGACTTACACAGATCCTGGTCTTTGATAGCCATTACTTGATGCAGTATCTAATCTTAATCTCCTGCACATTTTGGGAGGCAAATCAGGGTTTGGTGGAGCCTTTGGTGTATCTTTGGTATCTGCTGAAGATAAGCTCTGTATAGATCCACTGCAGCTTTTGCTACCTAAAGAAAACAACCAAATTGTAGGGAATATTAAAGCTAATTTGAAGTTGTTTCATAACATGTGTAACATGCAAAGTAAAGTTTTTGTTGTTGTGTTTTGGGTTTTTTTAAAGAGGCAAAATAGGTAGAGAAAGTACTTACTACGACAGAGAAGAAACAGGCTTTCAGGCAGAAAGCCAGGAGAAAGGACCAACAGCAAGAATGAAGAAATGACATTAAAATTGTGAAAATTACATTGTACTTGAATGGCTAGATAGTACATTCACTAAAAAGTGACAATAAAACCAACATTTATAAAGTAGTACACAGCATAGAATTGTAGAAAAAATTCATGTTGGAAGGGATCTCAGGAAGTCATCTAGTCCAAATTCCTGCTCAAAGCAGCATCCACTATGAAATCAGACCACGTTAATTTGTAAGAATTAATATTTCAGTATCCACAGAAGCCTCATCCAGTTTAAAAAAAAATACTTAGGAATTAATGATTATGAGTTACCTAAAACAATTGCTACTGTAACTTGATAAAACAAATCTGTAGCTGTACAGACTGTACTGCACACAAAAAAAGTCCTTTTAATGAATACAAAGCATAGTCACATGTGTCCTTCAAGCTGATCTATCTGTGGACTGCTGCCTTGTTTGCATATATATTCTGCAAAACAACTGCGTCTATTTCTGTGTTATTCCCAAGAACAACAGATGCTTAATAATGCTTTAAAAGCTATCATAGTATAAAGAGATCCCCAAATATAAAAACAATACCTATATTAATATTGTTAATCTACAGTATTATTCTATATTATAAATTTTTGTTAATGATAATTATTATTCTGTATTATTAATACTGTTAATATAACACTAATTTATATCTGGAAGTCTTAGGAAAAAGCCTGTATAGTCCATAGGCACAGAGAGGAGAGAACTTTCTTAATCTTTCAGGACTTTGCACATAACCACGTTTACCCTACCTGTACTTGTATTACTTATACTATTGACAGCTCAGTGGCCAACTCAGCACTCTCACTCAATCCACTGGAGCTCATTGTTTCAGTGCCAGCTGTTAATCTTCATAATCCAAAACACTGCAAATATACTGATTTCAAGAAGGTGCTTCTTCTAACGTAATTTCCAACATAGCTGTCGATATAGTGCAATATCACTTCATGTACTCACAGAAGTACAGCAAGGGTTCACAGGCATTCCAGCTAACAGCATTTAGCAGAACTGTCTAAATTAAGAAGCTATGTTTAAGCTTCTCTGTCTTGTAAGGAGCCTTGTCTACAGGCTTATTTGGAACATAGGCTCAACTTAGGTGCTCTGAGGGCGTTCTTCGAAGCAGCATCCTTCTTTGTCTGAAGAGGAAGACTGGCATCCTAACTTGTGCATTGAAATTGGATTCCTGAAGTTGAGTTTGCAAACTTGTAGTTGTTCCTGCACATCATGTCCATATACAGGACCATTCAGCCATAATCTTGTGTTCAAGCTAATGTACTTGCAGTACTGGATAACAAACCATGCAAGTAGGGCAGAAGGAAGCAGCCATTCCATCAGCAGGACTTCAGACATAGATTTCATGCCAGGGATTACCTTTTTATCCCATCTGACCAGTCCTATCTCAACTAAAGGCATTGACTGTAAAATCCATAACTAAAGAAAAAACAAACCAAAACCCCCCACCTTTCCTTCAATCTCCTATTTCAGTCAATTGAAGAGATGCAGTTGTCAAAAAAAAAAAAAAAGGAGGCACATCGAGAAGGAGTGACAAAACTGTTACTTACTAGGTATGTTAAGCCTAGTACTTTTTAAATTCAACTGCTAGCTTTGATTAGTATCAATCACGTTGCAACAAACCATTCCTTTGACACAGTGATAAACCATAGCTACTGACTCCTCTTATAAACCAGCAATCTTACAAATCAGTGGTCTAGGTGAGGCACAGCAGGATAGAGTACTCTAAATTCTGAGAAACACTGATAGCTTTTAAGCTGTGTGAACTGTACAGGTAACAAACAATGGAAATATGTCAGAAGCAGTTTGAAAGCTGAAAGAACATGCCACAAAAATTAAAAAAACCATAAAAGATTAATGGATATTGTTAGCTTTCAGATGCAGCTCTTATTTTGTGATGCCTCACAATAAACACTGATGTCCTAAAAGATCTTGGAAATTACCTTCAGCTGATGGAATTGATCTGAGGGAAGATGCTGAAGACCTTTTCAGCCCAGACAGACTGTAAGAACTCTTTTTGGTCAGGTCTGTTGGTGGAGAAGCATTCTCTGGTCCAGTGACAGAAGCTACACTTTGGCAGTCTGACTCCACATCTGTTTTGGTTGCATCCTCCTTTGATGAGGATTCTGGACTTGTAGTCCAGAGGCCTGAACTCTTCTGGCCATTAGAAGAAGGGGGAGAGGCAATCCATGGAATCCCTCCCGATTTCTCCCTGGGCTGCGAGGGCGCACATTTGGTAGTGCTGTTCTGCTCAGAGGAGTGAGAAGAGAGAGATTCAATGCTGCCCATGGGAGTGCTGTCCGGGCTACTGCTGTAAGAGTCACCTAGGGAGGAGTGAGAGGAGGGGAGGGGAGGGGAGAGAGAGGGAAACAAAAAAAATAATTACATTTTCTAATCATGTGCATTTCTCTCATGCCACCTTTAGCCCCCTGTAACTTACCTGTCATCAAATTCATTAATCTGTGGTTTCAGAGGCAGTGATTCTTAAGACAAAAATATCTATCTGGTTACTCTAAGTTTCACACATATTCCTGTCTTTAACCTTGGAAGAGCTGCATTTTGTGGATATTTCTTTAGAACTGATGAACGTAATTGGCTACAGGCCAAAATATTTCGCATAAAAGTTTGCGTTTTCGAAGAACTGATTGAATATAAATATTCTTAGGCAATTCAACAGTTACAATGCTGCAATATCTTTGCGGTGAGCATCTCGCTGGATTTCCATGATAAGGCAAATGTGATACTTGTGACATTTATGTTCTTAAATACGTGACTGTATTGTTTGCAGGCACAAGAATTAAATTTTATGTTGGTTACCAAGCTGCTGAGGTTCTCTGCAGTCTAAGACCAGTCCATAAGTCTATCTATAGATATCCTGCTTTCTGAATTGTCACACCTATCATAAAATATCTATCCTGCAGAAGGACAACTCATTCCTTACACCTTGAACATTTGATGAATTTCTTTAATTAGACTGATATTACAGAATTTTACCTACCTACACAACAATCTTTGTACTGATGATATTTCCAATAATCTTTTGCAACTAAAAGTGGGAATATCTTAATGAAATGATGTGATGATATAAAGGTAGGAACACTCATCAGAATTGAGGAAGGACTGGCCTATAATGCAGTGAAGGCTGAATTATCTTGAACACTGGATTCAGTCTAGCAAGTCACACATTGGTTTCTAGTAGGGTTTGTTCCCAAGAGCTAGGAGATACAATTAACAAATTTCACAAAAAGCAGAGAATATATATTCTTCAATCACACAATAGTTATAAGATACCACCATGATACAGCTGCTTTTGCCTCCACATGTTTCAATATCCTTGGCAACAAGTGACCATAACCACACACAATACTATGGATATGGGCACAATTATCAGTGCCTTGTATAGTGGATCTGACACTGGTACAATAATCTGAAATATCCTGCCTATTTCTGGCAAAAATTCTGGTATTCCAGATTAGATTGCCCCATTTTCCCCCTTTACAGACCAACAGTCCCTTGAAAATTGCAAGATTGGCTGAAGCCTGAATTTGTGAGATACGTTTACTACCATTTTCTATCATTCCCTTCTGTTTGAAACCTGTATCTCATTTTGCCATGCCATACAGGATTCCTTAATTTCCTGCAATGTAGAATAGAATCATAGAATCGTTTAGGTTGGAAAAGACCTTTAAGATCATCCAGTCCAACCATTAACCTAACATTAACAAGTCCACAACTAAACCAATTAAGGGTAGAGTAGCAACCCCACGCCTCCTGGCTTTGTGGCTGGATCATTTGTAATGAAAGTAAAAACTAGGAATCATTAAGGTTGGAAAGGACGTCTAAGATCATCAGTCCAATCATCAACCGAAAACCCTGATGCCCACTAAACCATGTCCCAAAGTGCCACGTCTACCTGT